GTAGGGAAACTATTAACTATATAATATATTATTTGTGGAAAACTGACTCTCCTTATTGTGTAGGACAGAATTTTGGGTGGGCCTTCATGATATCTGTCCCCTATTATTCACTCCCTTATGTAATTCTCTTCCACTTGAGTGTGGGTGGGAATTGTAACTTGCTTCTAACCAAAGAATTTAACAAAGGTGATGGGATGTCATCTCTGTCTTACATAAAACTGTAGCTTCTGTCTTATTAGCAGATCTTCTCCCTTGCTGGCATTGATGAAGCAAGCTTCAGTGATATTCATTGCCATATGTAGAGGCCCATATGTCAAGAAAATGAGGGCAGCCTCTGACTAACAGCCAACAAGGAATCGAGGCCCTCAAAACAACAAGCCACAAGGATATGAATCCTGTTAATAACCATGTGAGTTTGAAAGCAAATCTTTTCCCAGTTGAGCCTTGAGTTGAGACCACAGTCTTGACTGTAGCATTGTGAAGGACCCTGAATCAGAGGAACAAACTAGGCTGTGCCAGTGTCCTGACTCAGAGAAACTGTGAGATAATAAATATGTATTGTTTTAAGTAGTTAAATTTCTGATAATTTGTCAATTAGCAATATATTAGTAATGACTCATACAACTATGACCAAAAAAAAGAAAAAAATGTTTCCTACCTCACAAAATAAGCAGAAATAAATTTCCATACATTTAAAACCCAATCATGAAAAATAAAACAAAAGTTCTTAACCACTAGAATAAAATAGCAAACCTATGACCTCAGGGTAGGAAAAGATTAATTTAAACACAGAAAGCACAACTCATAAAGTGCTGATAAATTTTGAATGGCAAAATGTATCATAAATAAATATGAAGCACAGTGTTGGAGAATATATTTGAAACATATAACAGAACTCCAACATATCAATAAAAAAATCTTCAAACAAGAAAATGACCAAATACATGACCAAGCAATTCATAGAAGAGGAAATCAGAATGACCAAGAAATATAAGAATGTATACTCAAAATCACTAAAAATTAAGTAAATACAAATTAAAACCGAATTATATACTCACACTCATCAGATGGCAGAATAATTAAAAATTAAACAATAGTTAGCACCAATGATAATATAGTGAACTAGGAACTTTCACTCACTTCTTGATGGAAGTGTAATTAACACAATCCTTTTGATATGCAATTGGGAAATATCTAGTGAAATTAAAATTGCATATAATTAACATCTGAGTGTTTTCATTTCTGGTCATATATAGTAGAGAATCTCATACATCCATAAAAGGAGACATATATAAAGATAGCGATTTTACTCTTTTTTCAAAGAATGAAAAAACATACAAACTGCTAGAAACTCAGTTGAACCAGGAAAGAGAGCCTGGTTGTGAGAAGTCAGGAGTAGCCAATTAAAGAAACAAGCCAAAATAAAAGAGTTTAGCCTTTAATCACTTACTGTGATGGTATATAAACCAGAAAAAGTGCTGACTATCTTGTTCCATTTTCTCCCAAGGAACACATGCTCACCCAGGATTAGGTAGATCAGTGGGGTCAGGCAATCTCATTGTTGAGAGAGCCCTGAACAAAAGGCTCCATAAACCCAGTTTCATAAGCCCAGGGCCAGAAGGGAGAAAAAGGGTTAGGGATGGAAAAGTACTAGGCAGTGAGTCAGAGTGGGAAAAAAGTATCTTCCACTTTCTCCCCTCCTTCCCAATAAGGAGTCCTTGGCAGAGGCACCTGAATGCTTCAGGTAAAGAGACCTAGGAATGAAGGCATGAGGCTAGTAGTGCAAACACGTGAAGAGCATGACCAGCCAGAAGAGCCTGAGTCCTAGACTGTAACTCCCCTTGGAGACTGCGATGAACTGGCTGGGCCTCAAGTCTGGTGTGAGGAGGGCAGATTTCCCCCTTGAAGCTTGCCAAGTAAAGCCTTTGCAATAGCCTATACTTGGGCATGAAAAAACAAATCACAGATTGGTTTTTAACCAAAACCTTATCTCCTCAAACACATAAAGCAGTAGGAATATGGGTAACTTAAAAACAAAACAAAAGCTAAACTAATATATTCAATAAAATGAAATTCTCTACAACAATTAAAATTGAACTATAACTGCATGTATAAAAACAGATTTCTAGGACATAATTTTTGAGAGTAAAAACAAATTGTACAAATATGGACAGTATGATGTCATATGTGTAAATTCAAAATTATAAAACACACATATTTAATGAATATTGGGAGGGAGACAAAAAGGGAAGAGATATGGGAACATATGTATATGTATAACTGATTCACTCTGTTATAAAGCAGAAACTAACACACCATTGTAAAGCAATTATACCCCAATAAAGATGTTAAAAAAAAATAAATAAATTGCACCTACTGTTTTTAATACTTTGTATCTAAGTGCTTAATTATAAATTGGAAGATTAGCCTGGTGCTTTGAGAGCTAATTGCAAATTAAGTTACTAGGGGAAGAGTAGCTTTCAAATTTTTTTGAATCCTCCATCCAATCATGATAAGAAATACATTTACATTGAACCCAATCCACACACACACACACACACACACACACACACAACGGAAACAAAACTTTTGTGAAATGATACTTATCCTTACTACATGTGATACGCTTTTGTATTTCCTAGTCTGTTCTTTTCTCAGTCACTAAAACACACTGTTGGTTGTAATGTATTAAAATGATTTCACCACCTATGGGTTACAACCTGTGATTTAAAAAACACTGACATACAGAAAGAGAAAGACAAATATCATATGATATCACTTAATATGTGGAATCTAAAATATGGCACAAATGAACCTATCTACAAAACAGAAACTCACAGAAATAGAGAACAGACTTGTGGTTGCCGGGGGGCGGGGGGCGGGCAGTGGGGGAGGGAAGGACTGGGAGTTTGGGATTAGCAGATGTAAACTATTATATATAGGATGGGTAAACAAGGTCCTACTGTATAGCACAGGGAACTGTATTCAGTATCCTGTGATAAACCATAATGGAAAAGAATATGAAAAAAGAATGTCTGTGTATAACTGAGTCAGTTTGCTGTATAGCAGAGATGGGCACAACGTTGTAAATCAACTATGATTCAATTAAAAAAATAAAAAATAAAAAACACATAGAGTAATAACTTTGAGGTATGAAATTGAACTGATCTGAATCAATTCCCAGCAACTTCAGGTACTGGCAGTGTAACTTTGGACAAATTAACTTCTCTAAGTTTCATTCCACTGTCTTTATAATGTGATAGCTCATTCACTGGATTAAGGGGATTAAATGAGATACTACATGTTATTACTTTACAGGATACTTGGCATTCATTCATTGAACAACTGTTTTTGAATGCTAACTATGTGTCACCACTGTTGTTGGTATTGAAAGTAAAGTAGTAAGAAATCTTAAGCTTACATTCTAGGGCAGAGCGACAACCAACTTTTTTTTCTTATTTTTTATAACAGCCTTTGTTACCTCCTGGGCCTTTAGAAATGACTTCTGAAAATCGAGATGATAACAGTGAACTATTTAAAGGATTTCTGCAGACTTGGGCAGAAGTGAGCAAGGTATCATCACTTGGGAGGGTAAGCCCAAGCTTTTAGAATCATCTGTTAAGCAAATTTTAGTACATATATTAACTTAGTGCTTTGGTTTCTCCCATTGTTTCAGACAAGAAGTAAAAACACTGAGAAGGAGTTATCTAGCATTAAAAGGTGAGTTAAAATTCCTTGCCTTTGTTTTACATTTTCTGGGATCTTTATAACTTAAAGACTGTACCATTACAGGAAATTTGAAAGAGGTGAGAAAAATTATCCATCATATTTCTACCCTAACAACTGTTGTTTTTGTATATTTCCTTTCGTGTATCACCATATGCAGTACCACTAGGGTATAAGCTTCATGAATGCATGGATTTTGTCTCAATAACCAGAAAAGTGCATTTCACATAGTATATATTCATTCAGTGTTTAATAAATGAGTGAAATCACATACATTTTTACTTTTTTATGTTATAATATATGTACAGTTTTGCATTATGCTTTTCTATTAATATTGTGGTTGCATGTTACTAGAGTCTAAATTTATTGAATAATTGCATAATATTTGATTTAGCAGGTAGAATTTACTTAACCTCCTCTTACTCCCTTGGTATTTGAAATTGTTTTCTATTTAGTTTTGACTGTATGTGTGTTTGTTGAAGTTTATATTGTGATAGTGGATTATTTCCTTAGGATAGATTCCAGAAGTGAGATTAATATGTCAAATATTATGGACATTTTCATGGCTTTTAGGAAATGCCAGATTGTTTTCCAAAATCTTTTAAAAAAATTTCTGAAAATCTTAAATGAATTTACTCTGCTGTTAACAATATATATGAATGTATGTTTAACTGTAGCCTCTTAGCTTTTATAAGTGAAAAATAGTACCCCATTGTTTAATTTGATTTCCTTGGTTGCCAGGAAGTTGAATATTTTCCCACATTTACTAATTGTGATTTTACTTTTTCGAATCATCTTTTACTTGTTTTGACTACTGAGTTTGGTTTTACTTCTAAAATTTAACTTTTTAATCTTCTCAGCTACAAAGCCAATTTAAATGGCATGATCATTAGTGAAGATACTGTTTATAAAGTTACCAAAGGCCCAATATTCTCAATGGCTCTCCACCCATCAGAAATTAGAACTTTGGTGGCAGCTGGGGCCAGATCTGGACAAGTTGGGCTTTGGGATTTGGTAAGTTATTATTAATTGTTTTGAAGATATTAACATTTGAAGCAAATAGTCTGCGAAAGAATAGCCTAGAGCCATGTGTTTCTAGATGTTACTTGAGATTTATAGTTTTGTGCTTTGTGATTCCAAATTTTAGAAACCTAGAGGAATTTAAATTTGCTTTGTAGAACTTTAACATTTTTAGCTTGAATATCTTTAGTCATCTGGGCATAAATTCCTGCCAGGAAAGTTTATTACAACTTTAAATGTGTATATGAAAAGATCATACAGAGTTCTTAGGTTTCTAATTATGTTTAAAATACAGTTTCCAAGCTGGATCAAAATATCTTCCCAAGGATCTTCTTAGGATGATCCTAGTAATTTTTTTTTTAATTAATTTATTTTTTGTCTATTTATTTTTGGCTGCATTGGGTCTTCATTGCTGCGTGTGGGCTTTCTCTAGTTGCAGGGAGTGGGGGCTACTCTTCATTGCGGTGCACGGGCTTCTCATGGTGGTGGCTTCTCTTGTTGCAGAGCATGGGCTCTAGGCACGCAGGCTCAGTAGTTGTGGCACATGGGCTCAGTAGTTGTGGCTCGCGGGCTCTAGAGCACAGGCTCAGTAGTTGTGGCACATGGGCTCAGTAGTTGTGGCTCGCGGGCTCTAGAGCACAGGCTCAGTAGTTGTGGCATATGGGCTTAGCTGCTCTGCGGCATGTGGGATCTTCCTGGACCAGGGCTCGAACCCGTGTTCCCTACATTGGCAGGTGGATTCTTAACCACTGCACCACCAGGGAAGCCCCCTAGTCATTTTTTTTTTTTTTTTTTCCTTGCGTTATGC